TTTTTTGGAGCATTTAAAATTTTTTCTGTATTATTTTTTCGTTGTGGGGTAAACCTACAATTATTTTCAATTAGTTTTTATTATGTAACATTTATTAACTTGAAACTTGCACTTTGCACTAAAAAGTTTAATACATACAAGGAAATGAAAATTTAAAAATCGGTACCAACTGGTATCATGAAAATTTCATAAGCTTTCATTAAAAAAAAAACAAGATCAAATGGAGTGGAGAATTTAGGCTCCAGTGCGGTGGTGAACCTTTTGCGGGCAGTCATAAGACAAGCCGGATTACCGAATTTTTTGTGCTCTTCAGTAGTGGACCCAACATGCACCGAAGAGAATGTGGATATATGAAGCCTGCTTGTAGACCTGCGCTGGGACCAAGGACTTCAGCTGGACACATTCTTTTAAAGCCGCCCATCAAGTGATACATAGCGTGGTTTTTTATTCCGAATTTAAACAACGACTCTGGTTCTTCAGCGGTAACAATCGATGGTCCGTAAAAGCACTGAAGAGGACCAAGACGTGCGCTGCATGGACTCGACCCTTCGCTGAGATAGCAAAAGACCGGACGATTATTGGTATCATAGGCGCAAACAATGAGGAAGGCAGGATACCCAGGAACCAATGAAAGTCGCACCAAGCCACATTGGCAAAACTAGCGATACAGGAGAAGCCAGATAACTGAGGTCTGGCCCCATCACTAACAGATTATGGCTGGTTTCACAGAAACTCTTAGCTAGTTGGCAGTGGCGACAGCTGAGATCGACAAATTAGACGATGTTTAACCAGAAGCTCGTCTGAACGTAGTTGAAGCCCGTTAAATCTTATCTTGATACAGCGTGAGAGCTTAAGTACCGGCAAAACCATGAGACCAATCAAAAACCTTGCCGATCCTCCAAGAGTTCAACGCAGGTAGCCACACACAAATGGAGTGTGGTAAATAAACTGCTTAATAAAGAAGTCTAGATACTCTACCGGAGAGGACAACAAAGTTAATAATGTGTACAGTAAGATTACCTGCAAAGTCTACAAAACCGAGACCGCATCTTTAGTTTTCTTAGCACCTTCGTTAAAATATAACCTAATGATTATAATATGGACGTCGATGAGGGCAGGCCCAATGAGGAGCTAAGTGCCAAATGAGTACGTGGTTGGTTGCGTACACTCATTAAACCAACAGCGATCAGAAGTCGAAGCGGGACCTTTTTGTCTACGCCCACAGATGGCGGTGAATCCAATGGATCTTCAAGTTTTATAAATTGACAGATCAAAATTTTAATAATCTAGACTCATTAACACAAATGAGTTATTGCTAATCAGGTCACAGGGCAAACACTAAACCGATATTTGACATGTTTTCTGCTGACGTTTGTTTAATCTTGCGCTTTTGTATTTCACCAAAAAATGTGCAAATTTTCTGCTCTAATGCCACTCTCCATTGTACAAACCATTTAGCAAATTGTAAATAGAGATTTGAAGTTTGACAATTCAATTGTGTTGCACCGTCAGAGTAGTACGCAGCAGGTTACCTAAAATGTTGACCGATTTGGTGTATTTAGTTTGCACCTTTGTCCTTTTACTTTACCAACTTTGGTGGTCTGCTGTCCAGTGGTAGCTGAACTAGATAAATGCTCCTTTCTGTTCTTGTCAGCTCTAGTGCTTGTTTGGCCCGTTTTCTTCTTGCTTTTGAAACAAAATCTTAAATATTATCTTCCTCTTTAATGATTTTATGGTAAATGCAAAAATTGAAAGCGGGTGCATATCTTGGCTGCAACAAAATAGTGACCCGAGTCGATGCTTGGGCCTCGGAGTGTGCTTACGTCTAAAACGCTGGAAGCGTGCCTTCCACGTTACTTGATGGATCTTTTTATGCTTGAGCCTAGTACTGCTTACTACCATGTTTCGGGCCCGGGCGAAGTCGATTAGCCTCAATCAGTTGTCGGACGTTTCGTCGTGGAGGCTGAATTTTCCGACGGTAGTTCCAGAGATTCCTTCCTTGCCCACCCTGGAATTGAAGTCGCCAAGCTCGATTTTGATATCATGACGGGCCAGCGCTCGTACGTGCGCTCCAAGCACTCATTGAAGAGATCCTTGAATGCCTCATCCTTCTCTTCTGTCGGGGCATGGACGCAGATGAGCCTCGCTTTGATGCGGTTTCTGGCTAGACGCTCGTCCACCGGGGTGAGCGATAGTACTCGGAGACGGAGTCTCTCCCCCACCACAAATCCAACTCCGAATTTGAGCTCCTTTACATGACAGCTGTAGTAAACGTCGCAAGGTCCCATACATTGCTTGCCTTGCCCCGTCCAACGCATTTCTTGGATGACGGTGATGTCAGCTTTTGTTCTTACGAGGACATCAACCGTCCCTCAAATCGTTGTCCTTTAAACGTTTTCCGTGGTCGTCATCATAAGAGGGGGTCTCATCTGAGGCTTTGTCTTGCTTCTTCACTAAAAGTGGTTTTTACGTGGCGGGTCGCAAACCTATTGCTGGAACGGGGGTGGTTTCGCAACCAAATACACGTTTATATAGCGAGCCGCTTGCTCCAAGCAGACACCCGCTTGCAGCTGCCCCTACTGGTGAACAGACGCTGCAGACTTCAGTGAGCCCTTAAACCGAATAATTCGGAGTGGCTCCACCGAAGCTATCTCTCTTTCGGCCGTGACCTAAGGCTTCACTCGGATTGGTTACCGCGCGAGTGCGCGAACGAGGACGCAAGAGTCGGTAAAATTACCGTGGACTTACGGTAAAAGTTACCGTGGCGCGTGTGTGTAGACACTGCCTATTTTTTAATTGAAAATGGAATCCACCTTGTTTTTCTTTGCCAAAATTACGTGGATTATATGTTGCCGGAGAAGTGGGGCAGAACTTCTTTATGCGTAGGCGGGCTTTGGCCGCGCTTAGAGATTATAACCCTTACTAATCAGAATTCTTCTTTTTGTGTAAGCGTAGAAGTGGGACAGAACTTTTTTCTGCGTAAGCGGCCTACGAGCTCGCTTAGGGATTATAAGCCTTACTACTCAGAGTTCTCCTTTCTGTGTTGCCGGAGAAGTGGGACAGAACTTCTTTCGGCGTAATTTTTACCTTGGATACATTGCAAAAGTTACCGTGGCGCGTGTAAGTAGACAATCCCTAAAATATAATGTATAAAGTAAATATACATATCTACTTATTGTAATAAAAATAGTAATTTTCCTAAACCCCGCCCCTACCCTTTATTTTTTTTTGGATCCGCCCCTGACCGAAAGTATGGATTAAACTCGGTTTGAAGTATGCGCCTCCTTTTGGCACTCAGAAGGGGCATTCACAATGGGCAAATATGCCTCCGAGTGGAAGTATGAGTCATTCGTAGGCGCCTTCCTAACCTTGATTTATTAAATCAGCAAAAAAAAAATGAAATCTTTAGTGCGGAATGCATTCCTGGAAATCAAATTTAATCCTTCGCGGATATTCTCAATGTTGCTAGGCGCTGAAACTCGATCACACATAGGAATGCAAGCAAAGAACCCTGAATAACTTGCGCGTGAATGAATGAATTATGTATTTACCTTAACGTAAAAGCTATATTTGGTGATGTTCATACAAATGTTGTACTGTATATACATATCTATGCATGTATTATTATCTTTTATGTACAACACAATAATCATTTCTAATTACCCTTGTATGAGAATGCTTTTTATGTAGGCATATCTAACAAAACAGCACACACCCACAACACCGAAAAACATGAAAATATTCTGACTGCAGCCATGTAGAATGAAAAGTTAAACGTGAAGAGACAAAGCGCCAGACAAGGTGAGCAGACAAAATCTATCGAAATAGGAGATACCATACGCATCCATATGTAGGTAGGTGGGGAGGAAAGAGAGAGCCCATCACTCAAGACAAAACAACCACCTTCAATGCAATGTAATGAAAGCCGAACAAATTGTGCTTACCTGTGTGAGGTAAAAATCTACATATGTANCTTTCGTGATGACCGGTGTGCGGATCTCACCGATCGCGCAATGCGTGTGTGTGTGCTTGCGGATGTGTGTGTGGGTAACTTAGTCATCAACAATAGTCGGTTGGCCTGGCCGGTAGAGTCAAACATAACATCGTTAACGTCATCATAGTCAGTCGTTGTTAACGTTGTTGTTGTTGTTGATATTGTTGTTGGTGTTATTGTTGCTCCGCGGTAGTCGTGGTCGTCGTCGTTGCTACATATGTATTGTCGTTGTCAGTGTGACGGCGAAGAAAAGTTACGGTCGCAGTTTATGGCTACGGTTCGATCAGTCTGATTCAACAGTTTGTGCCGTAAGGAAGTGTGCACTACTGAACGGAAGTCACTTGAGACTTGAGTTACACAAGTTATTCAAACATACCTACTGTATAAACGCTGAATAAGAACACAAGCTACGCGCGAAGCCTAACGTAATAAACTAACAAAGAAAGAAACAGTATGGAGTTGTAGGCGAAGTGACAAAGTTCAAATGTAATAAAAACCGCAAAATAACGTCAGTAGGTAGTTCGTCGAAATAATTTTGATTGGACTTGAGAATCATTAAAAATTTAAGCAAATTAAAAATTTGTGAATACATATTTAAATGATGCGATGCGAAGACTGATAAATAAAATTTAAAGGGAATTTAAATCAAAGTACATACATACATACATGCGTACCTACGTGTTAAAGTGGCACGTAAAGTAGAACAAAAAAATCGAATTTGTCAACAAATTAATTTGAATCAAAAAAAAAAGTGTTAAAGTCAATCGGCGAAAGTAAACGCATACATAAATTAAAAACCACTTTGTTGCCGGCCGTCGTTGCGCGTTCCATGCGTGGACATCGAAATTAACACATTCTTGTGAAATTGGCTAACTCAAAAGATTTGCAACTCAAAACAATAACAAATAAAATATTTAATACCAATACTTATTGTTGTTGCCGCCATTTGAAGTGAAGTGTAATCGCACAACAAACAATTGGCTAAGTGACTTATTGCAGGCATATTGCCATCGACGCGATCGATACTGGCTGTAATAATCGTAACAGCAAATCATCGGTCGGCGTGATTAATTGCGTACGAACAGCTGAGCGAGCAGCCGTACAATTAAACAACTCACGTGGATAAGCTCAGTGGGATTTCATCGAATTTACTTGGATTAGTATGCGGTGTGTGTATTGCTTTTGATTTGCTTACATTTTAATTTACCTTATTTTAGGGCCGTTTTCTGAAGTACATAGCCTTTAACTTTAAAGCTTACTTTATATATAAAGTTTTGATTAAAAAAACGTCTGTAGGTTTCTTGGTTGTAAACCAATTTAAAACCGATGCCGATAATAAAATGCTTTACTTTAGACACAATCATACATTTTAATGCAACAACCTTTTAATAGATATAAAGTGAGCTTTAAAGTTACAGGTTACTTAAGAAAACGGCCCTTAGTGTCGTAAGAATACATTTTAAGCTTTGGGTATAGGAGATAGAATACTTTTGTGTTATATTTAACTGGAGAGTACTCAATCCGAATTACTAATGTTTTCAAGTGCTTTAGAGTCACTTTAGCCTGAAGTAGCAGTTGACGTTTTATTTTTGGCTATGAGCGTATTTTTTTATCAACTGATTATTAGGTGATTTTATAGTCGCATAGGTATGTATGCATACATATGTATAAGCCAAGTACAATATAACGCACGTTTTTCTTTGATGACATATCTTTTTACCAATTTAGCGGTTTGTCACTGATAAGCAGCTGTATCTATTAATTAGGTGCGTATATGTAGCAAGTCATTAGCCTTTGTGAAGTGGAGTTTCCCCCAAAATAAAGTTCATCAAAATCTCTTTTATGATATGGAAATTAAATGCTGAAGTACATATCGATGGCTGAGAGGAAGATAGATCGACCTATGTATCTCGGCAGCCGGTTCGAAAACACGCTATCTCAGCAAATTTTTAAGGGACGCCCTATTACAGAATTTGCTTGAAGAGTGCTTTATCTCAGAACTTGGTTGAATAACGCCCTGTATCAGCAAATGGTTCAAGAACGCCCTATCTCTCCAAATGTGAATTCATTATATTTTAAATATAAAACCAAACTGAATCAAATTAAATAAAAAAATAACAGAATAAAATGAATGAAATGATAATGAAAGAAATAAATTAGTAGAACAAAAAATAAATAAAATAAAACTTAAGGTAATTTAACAAAAATCATATATTTATGTAGATAAAATTAAATAAATAAATTATAAAAAAAAAAATTAATAAAAAACATTAAACCATGATGAAATAGAAAAAATTGACATAGTGCTCGAAGTGCATACATATTTATCCTTTTTAAAGTTTTCAAGGTTGAGGTATCAAATACGGGTTATCTGGATAGCTTTAAAGGGAATATTTCGCAAATGAAATAAAATGATTTGGCTTTTTATAACTTATAAAATAAGTAAATGTTTTACTTTAAAAATTAGGTGGCAACGCTGTTTGGAAAATACGCTGTGATGAAGATTACATATCTTGAGCGTACGTACAAAAAGGTGGCAACCCTATTGAAAAATATCTGTTAATTGGGTATTTTTAAAATAGCTTCCATTTGATACCTACATTATGATGTTTTATTTAATTTGTGACTAATTTAAAATAGGTGGCAACCTTATACGAGGATTCTCGGAGATAATATCTATTGTGATCCATAGTTACATATAAAAAAGGCAAAATCTTTATGTATAAAATTTTGGTGTAATTCTTTTCGTATATTTCCTTTCCAAATTAATCACCTCGATGGATATAGGCTACAGCTGGATACAGTTGGTGGCGCTAGTTGAGATATTTGGAAAATTTGTACATATATAGTTATGAGCCAGTTTGGTTTATATTCGGAACGTATTTACATGCATTAGGGTGCCTCCCCGTACAAAAAGTTGCTGTTTTCACACGGGAGTTTTGAAATTTATTATAGATTACGACTCCCGCCAAAATAGCGCGGAAAATATTAAGATTTACGTGAGCTTGACATCGAAAAGTAGAGTTTTTTTATATATATAAATTAAATTATATAAATATTTTTTTAAATCATCCCAGAAAATATAAGATTTTAAGCTAAAATGGTCTGAATAAAAATGATTAAAAATTTTATCCACGTTAGCAAAATGAAGAGATTTTTCGAGGTAATTTCAAATCGTCCATCTCACTTAAATCTTAGTATTTTTTTTTGCAGAAGTCTTAAAAAATAACAAATTTTAGGGTGTGCTATTAAAACGACGAGGAGTGTACATATATTCTCTCAAGTTGTTACAAAAAACATTTTCCATACTTCTTACACAAATATATTTTTGCATTCGATAACAAAAAAATGCTCCTTAAATTGGCAATGGAGTTACATAATTTTAAAGTTTTTTTCACGATTGTATTAGATTTTCTATATTCAGAAAAATGTTAGAAGGTACAAAGGGAAATAAATATTATAACACAAAATTCATAATTACTTTATTAAAATAAATAAATAAATAAAATTTATGCGCTTGAGGATACCGAATTCCAGTTATACATATTTGTTACTCGATCTTACCATTTGGATGAGGCTGGGCTTAAGATATTGCGAAAAATCCCATTAATGCCGTAAACGAGCGGAGCCAGTTAAAGTGTATCAAGTAAAATATGTACATATATGTACCTACTTATAAGCGGGTTTTTCGTGTCGTCTAACAAAAAGCTGCTTAAAAGCAAACTGTGTACATATATGTATAAGGCGTACTTTCTTTTCTACCAATTTTCTTCAAAATGGTTCTTGGTTCTCGATTCAAAAAATTAACGATTGTACGGTATCTAATCAAATCGGTTTCTATCAATAAGATTATAAAGGACCCAGCAAAATTTGTATCGAAATTTGCATCCATTGAATTACGTTTATATTCAAAAAAAAAAACTTAAGATAAGCACTCAGTTATCCTAAGTACCGTATAAGAAATAATAAATAGTTTCCGGGAAAATAATGAAATTTACTTTCCTGTCATCAAAAAATGCACTAGTCCACTTGGAAATCATCGGATAATAAAAAACTCCAACCATGACCTATTTATGTAATGCCTGAATACAGGCATACATAATACATTTTTCTGTGAGTGCGAGCATGTGAAATTTTCAGCTTTTTTCTTTAAACATTATGTATCAAAATCACTCAACGAAAATATTTAAAGAACACACAAAAGCCTCTTTTATCCATTTACTTGCTTAGCAACAAATGATTTTCTTTCAAATCTAGTTTTGCACAAAGTCTATAGATTATAATCGATAATTATCGATGAAAAATCTTTGACACTTGAAAACAATTGTTACTTAAATTAATTTGTAACAGTTCAAAAATATTAAGAGCGTTTGAAAGAAATTCCCAAATAGGTCACTTGAACTGTTACAAAGTTTTTTTTTCAAGTTTTCTTTATATGCGTAAAAAAGTCAGATACGACGACACACATGACTGCTAACCTTTTAAATCTAAACCCAAAATAGATCTCTTCTCTTCAAGGACAAGTTTGCAATTATAACTGCTCTAAGCCTCATTTTAATGTTGAATAAGTAGGTAATATTTTCTATATCCACTTCAGTATTTTACTTAACAAACAGCAAGTAAGAAGCTTCATGTCTAATTGTTATGTACATGGGCGTAGCCGGGTAGGGGCCGGGGCTCCCCCCTCCCCCATATTTTCCAAGTTTTCTATATTATGAAAAATAGTAACTTGAAATGCTAGCTTAATAGTGTCGAGGCCCCTCCTGAATTCCATTCTGGCAACGCGCATGATGATGTAGTATTATTATGATTTTATCTATACACCTGTGCTTATCATCGCTTATCGCCTCAGCTGTTCAATGAGTTAACTTTTCAAGTAATTTTGTTTTGTTTCCATGACATAATTGCCGAAAAATGACTGGACTACATCGATTGCAATTCATCAATTTTGATTTTCTTTATTATTTTTTTTGGAAGCAAAGAGAAAAGCAAAACGTCCGCCCTAATCAAGTGGTTAGAGGTGCGTGCTGTCACCCGATAGGAGCCGGGTTCGATTCCTAGCATCAGCAACATTCAAAAACGTGTTTCCCTCTTAGCTTCCGCCATCGGCAAGCAATGACACACCGCCGGCTTTATTTCTGACATCAAAAAGTTTCTCATAAAATCCACCTCCGGTGGGGAGGTTGTGTTACTAGTTTAACCCGCTTAATACAAATTGGGGGAAAAGCTCGGCCAAACACTTAACGAGAATGTGAGCGCCAAACATTTTTTTATTTATTTATACAGAAGAGCATGCGGAAATATTAGCTGGCCTTTTTTTGATAAGATTTCCAAAAACAAACAAAAAATATTTAGGTTGTTGACTTATACGGTGTGATGATATTTATGAGTAATTTTACGTATCTATTGATGATAAAAGCAACTTATGGTATGAATAATGCAAATTTCAAAGTTTATTTTTTAGACTTTAAACTCAAAAGTTTTTGGGTACGAATCGAGATTATTTTGTTTATTTCTAGTTAATGTTATACTTGCTGACTGCGCAGATTTCATGAAAGAGCCAAAATCATTTTGCTTTGGATTTGGTAAAGCAGTCAATTGTGAGCTGTGACATGACCTGCAAGCGTTTTTCTTCAGCTTTGTTCTAATAGTTTTTTCCGTTGCAATTTTTTTATAAAAAAAATTTTTTTTTGGATATACATTTTTTTATTTGAAAATATGCATGTATACATACTTTAAATAAAAGAGGCGTTTTTAATATAAAAATCAAATTAAAAATTTAATTTAAAACTTTTTATAGTTTTACTTTAAATACGCAAATTCTAGCAAATTCGTACAAAAAATCTTTAAACTAACGTTAATATTAAGTTTGTGAATTATTTTTTAATTAAAAATACCACCATACCTAAGTACGGTTTCACATAATCCAGTATCTGGTTAACCGGAATGTGTGAAACGACACTTATATTTTAAAAAATTTCATAAAATTATTCATATGTACATACATCGTAATTCACCTCAATTAAAACCCAAACACTTATCAATAATTTCCCCTCCCTTTTTTCTCTACACCCCTCAGGTGGTTGCAAATCACTTGCAACCAATAAAACCAGCAAAACGGCGAACCAAAGCGAATTTTTACACACCAAAACGCGCCCACGCCTGCAATATAGCGTGCGGTCACCAACAAATAAAACAACAACACTAACAGCTGTAAGAACCACACAAATACTACACACACGCACAAAGAAAAATCTCAGCAGTCGGAGTAGAAGTAGCCGTCGCATCCTCACACCTAATCTCATTTTGTTTATAATGACTTTACTAACAGTATTCACAAGTGCCGTTGCGGCGCCCACCACCTCAACAACAACAAAAACAGCAGAAGCAGCAGCAGCAGCTCATTCCACCGCACAGCATACAGTAACTGCTGCAGTACCGGTGACAGCAACATCAACAAAAGCTGCTGCAACAACAACCTCGCTAAAAAAAACCTCCCAAAATACGATCGATGTGAGCAGCGGCATTGTCTATACGGCGTTGCAGGCACCCCTTGAGGGTTCGCGCCTGCGCAAGCGACATAGTAAACGCCATAGTAATTGGTATGATTTTATTAATTTCAATGAGAATACCACCGAATTGGAATGGGTGAATCCGTGTGGTGGCTTCTATGTGCCGTCGGCGACGGAAAGCGTACGCACTAAGCGACGGAAGCATCCAAAGCAGGTGGGTTGAGTTGAAAAAAAGGATTTAACACTTTTTATTATTTAGTGTAACTAATATTCATTGTAATTAAAAGTTGTATTATTATCTATGCATCTTATAATTTTAATTTTTTTTTTAATTTTCAGATTTTTAACATGCTCAAAAAGTCAGCTGGCAATGAGTATAAAATGTTGAAAGCCGGCCAACAGGATATTGATATAAGCAATATACAAATTTGGTCGCTGCACAATAAGACTTATAAATTTCTGCCCAAATTGAAGAGTAATTCAACGGTAAGTTAGCAATTCTTGTTGTAACGAAGTTTTCGAGATAATTCTCGCTTGTTTTTTTTTTGAGTAGAGTAAGTTTCTCTTTCATATTCTTATGCACATTTGTATGCATTTTTAAATGCGTGTACGCATTAGGATGATTCAAAAACGCATGTGAAAAAGTAAAGTCGGAATTTTAATGCTCTCACATTCTAGGATTGTTCTATATCGAAAAAACTTTACCTCCGTTTTTTATTTTAAAATAAAAAAATAAAACGTTTAGAGGCCGCTCAAAGCGCTTTTCCAAAGTTTTCCATGTATTTTATATGGGGAGTAACAAGTTTTTGTAGAAATGGTATAGAAATCTTGAAAATCAATATTTTTCGATCGGAAAACTTCGCTTTTCTTTAGAAGACTTCCAATAACAATACCCAACTGTTTAATTAAACAATTTTCTATTATTGGCTATTTTTTATAGAACACCTAAAAACCTCAAAAAATACAATGGGGAACCCATTCGAGGCTTTTAGGGGCCCTATAAAAAATAGTTAATACTAGGAAACGAAGCTTTCCGATCGAAAAATGTTAATTTTAAAGAATTCTATACCATTTCTACGAAAACTTATTTTTCCCCATTTAAAATATATGGAAAACTTTTAGCCATCTCTAAATATTTTGTGATTTATGTGATGGTATAGAACATTCCTAGGAGGTGAGAGCATTCAAATTTCGGCTTTCCTATTTTTGTACCACCCTAGTGCGATGTATACGTAATGCGAAAATTAATTTGGCATTTCCGTTGATGTGACGCTAATAAATATGTATGTATGCAAAAATGTGGCTATATGTAATAGCAAAAAAAAACAAAGAAAACGAAAAAACGTTTCTCATTGGGTTACTCATGTTTCGTTTACAGGTACATTGAAAAAATTTCTCAAATACATTACTTATACGCATGTAAATTTAACAAGAATATGTAAAGAAGGCTTCCATTATTTTAGAGCCTTTATTCTATGGACATCCATACAAATTCCAAAGAAAACTTTGAAAATTTTTTTTCCTACGGGTGTGCTTTTCTAACGGATTTAGGAATTTAATGGAAGCTTTAATGCGGTGATGGGCATCAACTAGCTGCGGATAAAGCTCTTTCAAACTTTCTATACTAAATATATGCAAAGCTTGAAAGAGCTTTGCCCGCGAGCAGGCTGGTGCCCACCACCGCTTTAATGCATGCAAAAACTGCTTAAGGGGTTTGAAAAGCTTTAGAAAATTTAAAATGCATAATGGAAATAGTGGGGCAGTTTTTTCTTTCACATAAACCACTTCGATAAAAAAATACTCTATGATAACCACAAGTTTTAAAAAGCTTAACTTTTTTCGATAAAAACTTTTGGGGCTTCTTAGATGTACGTAGGTACTTAAAACAGGGACACCTAAAAGGGAACTCACGAATAAGTTTTCTAAGCTTTGTATAATCGTGTTCAGAGAAAAAGCTCTATGTCGCTATCACTAGCTATGTCTAGTCGCTTCTAGCTTGAAATCTTCCAGCAATATCACATAAAATCTTCAAAAACATAAAGATTAAAGATTTATAAAACTTAAGGATTTATAAAACTTTGATAAAAAAGAGTTGGAAGGAGTAGCAATGTTTACCGACATACATGCATGCATATGTAAATAAATTTAATATATGTACATGCATGCATATGTAAATAAATTTAATATATGTACATACATACATATGTATTTTAGGAGTAAAATAATGGTGTTTTGAGCTCGAATCGTTACAATTTCAAGAACTTCAACTCTAAACTCAAAGCTCTTTGAACTTTTTTAAAGCTTTCTGAAAGCTTTGAATATTCATGATAAGGGCGAAAACTCACGCCAAACAACTTATGAAGTTTCTAGTTTTAATCTATCTTGTTTTAATTTTTTAAGAAGATAAAAAGTTTAGAGCAGCGACAAACAAACGATATTTGTAAGCTTAATACAGACTCGGTATGTATGCACCAGCGTTCGCCAGATAGAGCGAATCTCTGATCCTCTGTATCACTGATGCTCAAAACAGCGCCCGCGGGCGGAACTCTTCAAAGCTCTCTGTAAGTTTCATTGTATGAACGCGCACAGAGTAAACGCTCTCTGAGCATCACTGGTCTATATCAGTGATGCAGGACAAAGCTCTTTTAAGCTTTCAATACATTTTGCGCAGACTAGTGCAGAGTAAAGGCTCTCTCTACCCATCACTACATTAGATGGATTGATTCAAACCTTAAGATTGGTTAGTGAAAGCTCAAAAAATGTTTGGTAGGTGAAAGTTTAAAAGCTTACTAAGTATTTATTCCCATTCTGTTTTTAAAATGTTTTGAAATATTTCAAGTAAGCTTCGCTTTTGTATTCACGTATTGCAGTAAATAAATACTATTGGTACGAAAAAAATTCAAATTAACGCAAAATTTTTTCCAGTGCTACAATTAGGTTTGTCCGAAAGGCTGCTAGCGTAAGCAATATGGAATTTTGTTTGCATTAGTTTCAAACACTTTGTCATTTGTGTGTAACTAGTCATCAATTCCTTCACCGTTTCGCTTCGTTGGCGAAGATTTCATGTTTCACATGTACTACTCGCTGGTACTTACATACATATGTACATAAATAAATGCCAGCTATTTTATAATTTTTTAAATTTGTTGATATCAATACTGGTATGAGTAAGAGAAAAATTTTAATAGATAAATAAAAAGTTTTGAACATTAATCACACAATTTGCACGTTGCTGTTTGCGCACTTGTAGTCACATTTTGAAAGGGAGAGGCGCACTTATTGAAAGGGCTCAAAAAGCTTTCTCTCAACATTTTTTGCTTAGTCAGCGTGAAACGATAGCAAATCTTAAACCGGTCCCACAAAATAGTTAGTAGACTTAATTGGTGCAATAATATAATAAATATTTTATACTTGCAAGTTAGTAAATTTCATTCATTCAGCGCTTCTGAATGTTATCTTATCAAATGCAGGCCTTTAAAGAATGCGCTTATGTCTGCGCGTTGGTTAAATAAAAAACTTGCGTAACTACTTACATACGTACATATGTATTTTTAGATATAGTAAAGGCAGACAAGTGCAATCCGATCGCGGACAGCTGATGACTGTTATGTATATTTACTACGTACATACATACATATGCACTTATAGGCATACATACATACATCGTTTGTGCATGGTCAGCCGGCCTATTGCTCATAAATGACAAAAAATAGAATATATGACTTCACAAACTGCCAATCGCCTTTGTTATATGGATAACAATCCAATTACATATGTATGTATGTATGTATGTAAATACATTGTACCATTTACATATGTACGCACATTGGCCGGAAAGTTTAGACACGTCTATTAAGAAAGCGAATGGCAAAGCCTTTTTGTGTTTTGATTTTCATGTTTTTTCCTGGCGTGATTCATACTAGGTCTGGCGTGCGTCTGTGTTTACATATGTACATTAGGGTGGCCCAAAATTTTTGTCCAGCCACCTAAAAGAATTGAAGAATATTGAAAATGACATCCGTATGTTTTATTCCTTTAGCATTTTAGCAATGCCGCCGGTATTTGAAGTTTTCCATATTCACTAAACGATTTTGAAAATACATCTATAGTTTTTAATAAATAAAAAAAATTGCGGTCTTCTTATTTTCGATTTTCATCAGTTCAGGCCGTTGACAGCAGAAAAATTCCCAAAAGTTGATTTTCCAGTGCATTTTTGGACCATCCTAATGCACAAACATGCATACATATGTACATATGAAAGTATAAAAATAAGTGGCCGCAAATCAATGAGATAAACGATTAATAGCAGCAAGTGAAAAAATAAATAAATTCAAAACAAAACGATTATGAAATAAGTAAAAACCATATAGTGGTAGCAGAAAGCGTAAAGCAAGTGAGTAAATCAACAAAAAACAGAACAAATATGAAGACGATATACAGTAGTTGGGCATGGAAATAGATTGACTGTGAATTTGAAAAGTTTTGCCAAGCGAAATTTAATAGAGAATTTTTTATAGAGTAAATAAAGTAAGTGCCTGCAAAATTAAAGCTACAAAATTTGTTATTACGAGTTTTATAAAGAAATATCAAGCCGCAAATTTAAAATATTATGCGATCACATTAAAAGTTGGTTAGTTCATATCAGTGTTGGCCAAAGAGAGCTTTTACTCCGTGGACGTCCATATAAAATATATAGAGAACTTGAATAAGCTCTGCATGCGCCAGAAAGCTGATGCAAAAAGCCGGTCTTTGACTTAAACTTTAATCATAAGCATCTCGAGCTTATTCTGTGTAAGATAGTGCTTGACTGTACACCTGCCAAAAGCATTTTTAAGCTTTCGCTAACATAAATGCATCTTATAGTAAGCCATTTATTTATTTGATTTAGTATTATATATTTATGAAACGCTTCATCTAGACAAGCTTTCAAGCTTTCATGAAAGTAGCAAGGTATGCCTGAAAATCCAAAAAAGCTTTCTACATAATATCACAAACTCAAAACGGTTTTATAATTTTATAATTAAAAAAAGGACGTAGATAGACTAATTAGCGGGTGCATATGTAACCAAATTCTTCAATCTCAAAATGATTGCCGAAGTCATGGAATTTAAAAAATTACATATGTACTATAAGCTTCGATGGCTTAAAGTTAACTAGTCTCAAAAACCTACTGACCGTGCTAATTTGAAAAAATGCTATAAGTGGATAAAAAGTGCTTACCTTTTATATTGCAAATTAAAAAAAAAAAATAGTTTAATAAGAATAGCAAACTTATGTAAGAGTTTTCTTAAAAGTTTTCAGTAAATTTATCCAAATAATTCGAGATTTCCAAAAACCTATGCTCGAGCACCAGAGCTGTTTACGGCAATGCCAGTCGCAACTTGAACATATACCATGCGAGTAACTTTTAAAGCTTTTTGACAGTTTTGTAAGAACTTACTAAATGATTAATGGTGTTTAAGTGAGCTTAGTTAGACTGAAAGTTTTTATAGTTCTGGGTGTGTGAAAGTTTTGAAAGCTTATATAATTCAAGCAATACAAATTTTGGCTTCCGGTGTTAGCTACAAAATTAAAAGCTTAGTAGCCGAATGCTCAGCTTCAGATTTGTGAAAGCTGTGCTTTGATTTTGTGAAAGCTAGCATGCATGGAAAAAATGTGTTATTTTATTTGAAAGTTGCTTTTACTTGGCGAATTAAATCCATTTAGCTTTAATAATAGCTTTCAATAGCTAATTAACTTTTCGGGACTGAGAACTAAAAGTTTCCCTGCCTGTTAACAACTAATGGAACTCGTGAAACTTAAAACATTTTTTTTAATTATATACATTTTAATTCAGTCACTATAAAAATATCACGCAGAGGAAGCTTTTTTACACTTTATATAGTTTTTTATGGACGCACATCACGTCAAGGTCTTCACTGGTTGCCGCCGATGAATATGTAAGATACATATGGATCCGCAAAGGGCAAAAGCTCTCGTTGGACAACGATGTTGAATATTCCGAGATAAAGTTTTTTGCTTATAGAACAGTAGTTGGCCGCTTCACAGGCACGCGTGTCAAAGCTATTAAAAGCTCTCTGCAAAATGACTCAGAAACATTAAATAGGGAAACCCTGAAAAGTTAATAAATGAGAAATAGAACTACAATAATTTCTTGCCATATTTTTGAGATACCAAAAGCTTTCTAATCTTTCAATAATATTTGAAGCAATTGTAAACGGATTATATAATTAAAAGGTTAGAAGTTTTAGCTTTCAAAACCATTTAGTATAATGCGACACATTTGCAGGTCAGGTGCTTACAAAAACCGCTGAAAGAAAAACAAAACAACACAAAACAGCGTTAATTTCCAAGTATTAAATATCGATGATTTTGGCTTTTACCAAATATCATGTAGGCTTATAAAGTTGCCACTCTAAGCCGACTTTGACAGCGTGCTGATTGTGTTCAGCTACTTATCAACGTCACGTACGACATTAGGCAGTTTATGAAGTGTAAATATATCTTCGAGTATGCACATTAAATTTTATTTATAAAAGCAGCTGACTGACTAGTTGGCCAATTAGCCAAATGAGCGGGTGAAAGAGTGTGTGAATGTGCGCGCGATTTTAATTATCGTTTTATAGCTAAAAAGCTTTTTTTTTACTTAAATGGTAATAAACGATTGTTGTCGACACGATCGAATGACCTATAAATACAATGTACATATGTACATATATATCTGCGATTGAAATTTTGAGTGTATGAGGAGGGAGCGGTTGTGATGTGAAACGAACGCGCTAACCTACGCGGGTGTTGAGCATTTTTTACTATACATACGCTCACCGCTGCTATAAAACGCGCGCTCAGCGCTTTTCAGTACTCAGTATTAAATTATTTTTATTTGGGGTAGGTCGGGATCGTATACGTGTCGCATACACAAACATGCATTTTTGTATGAATAAACTGAGGAGAGTTACTCGTAGGGTGGCTATTTAGAATTTTTTCCTGTCGGAAATTCGTTTTTATTATTTTTTCATATTATTGTTAAACATTTAAATGCGTTTTCTTTCTAAAGCTTTTACTCATAAAAATCACATCTATTTCCGCTTCAATTTTAGATCGCTTTAAAACGCTGGTATCGCAACATACAATCGTATGTCGCTTCGTTCGCTTACCTGCGACGCGTTCAACGTGCCTGGGATATGGCTAAATTGCAACGTGAAAATAGCACTGCACGCGAACTGAAAATGTTGCTATTCAGCGCGCGGCGTATGCTTTGCGAATTGGAGACAGCTATCAATGGCACAATGCCAACACCGCGAGCGCTGCGCGGCAACCGTCTACCACATGTGACGCGTAATCAAATGAATAAGCGCTTAAAGCTCTATACAAAGCGCCGTGCCGAACGCTATCCGACAATGTTACAGGAAGCCAATAGCATCGATTTGATGTGGGTTAAATATTATTATTATGATTTTTTGGAAACAATGTGGAAGGTGTTGCGTCAAAAGACGAAGCGCCGCGGTCAAGTCGCATTGGCGCAACATCCAAAAGCGTACAACGAGGTGGAGAAGCATTTTGGTAGCATTGCGGCGGCGATGACGCGGCATGAAGCGGCGGCACCAAGTGGCAGCGTAGATGGCAGCAGCGAAAGTGTGGAAAAGCGCGCTAATGGCGGGCGGATGGCGCAACTAAAGCGCGGCAACGCCGGCGGTAGTGGAAGTAGTAGTAAAGGTGCTAGTCACCGAAGAGTTACTACGGCGAGCACTGCTGGGGGTGCTGGTGGTGGCGGTGGTAGCAGAAGGCGGCCGGCGCATGCGCGCACCAATAGGCGGTGAGCAATAGCAGTGTGCGTAGCAGGAAGTTAAGAGTTTCATTTTCTCTTATTTTTATTATTCTTATTAGATATTGTTTTTTTAATTGAGTCTCAACAATTTTTCGCTTTCATACAAAAATATGCTACTTAATTTCGTGAAGGGGGTTAGCTTAAATTAGTTTATTCGTAGAGTAAAGTGTTATTAGGAATTTAGCTCACTCTATCGCCAGTGTTTAGTGCTTGCATACTGTTAAGGCGAAACAATTAAGTAGATATTTTATTTTATTTTTTTTTATTTTTAAATGCATGTAAAACATATATCTAGTATACGTACACACGCCCTCACTCTTACTGATAGATTAGACGCAAACTATTAAGTACAACTACAACTATTCACTAAACGTAAGCAAGAAAAGTAAACAAAAACGCTGCATTTAATTAGGAATTGCATACACGTAGCAACAAAAACAACAAGAGCATTACATAATCTAAGCAACAACTCACCAGCTACATATTTATTTATTACATTCCGCATCCATAAAAAGCTAAAGCTAAAGCGCAGCGCGTCAAACAGTTTACATACAGGCGCGCAAGTTCAAGTTCAGTGTCGTAAAAAAAAAATAACAACAAAGCGCTGCATATTCAGCAAAAGCAAAGCAAAAATTAATGAAAAATCCAATAAAAAAAAACAAATAAACACATTTACATTTTTTGCTATTCCGTATGTTTACAGACGCGCTGCATTCAATTTTCCTTTCGTTTCCATTTTCATTTCGATTTCCATTTGCATTTGCATTTTTCACTTTCAATTTCATGCAAAACTAGTATAGAAACAAAGCAAAAACATCAACAACAAAAAATTAACTAAACACAAATTAATAGTTGTAGCATTCTAGTCAACACATCAAGCAGTCTCGATTACTCTGATAACGGAGCAGGTACATATGTACACACCCACCACATACATATACACACGCACACATGCACATGACATTTTGACTCGTCTTTTACACCCCGTGAGCACCTAGAAAAAAACTTGATTTGTTCCTACCCTACAAGACAGCTGAGTATCATATGAGTACTCATATTATCATTATCCCTAATCACAAAAGTGCTTATCAAAGTCCTCATTTTCGTTCAGGCCATGGGAAAAAATTGAGTACTTTCCCCTCAATGTTGTCATCAGAAAGACCTCAGTACTAATAGTCAAACTACTCATTTATGCCGTACTACAAAAACAAAAGTGTAAATGTGTGAGAATTTTTGCCTAAAGTGCTCAGCAATGTCTTGTAGGGTATATTTTACTACATACATGTGTGTATGTGTTGTATGTTTCTGTAATCACATGAAAAGGTGCGCAAATATACATACATACATACATACCAACAAAATAAATAAATATACATGCAAGCATGTGTATAATCTTCAGAAGCTTTATAAGCACGTGAGCAGAGGCAAGGCACGGGTGTGGTAAGAAATTGCCATTATCAAAAGGCGGAGAAGAATTTATTTCAATAGGTGCAGAAAATGATTTTTTGTAAATGTTTTCAAAAAAGTTTAGACATTTTTCCATATATTTCACCATATTTCAACAACATTTAAGAAAATTGCCGGGTCATAAATATTAATAAATCTAAGAAAAATATAATTTTTAAAAATATTTTTAATAAAAAATTTTTTACAATTTTTCAAAGCAAATCAAAATTATCAAGATTAAAAAAAATAGAAAAACTTGCTTGTAACAATTTTTAAAAAACTTAGAAATACATCTTTGTGAACTTTTTTGAAAGTATTTGTCCGGAAATTAGTTTCAAAATTACTTTTATGTAAGCTTTTTGAAACATTTACTTTTTATTTTGCCAAAGAAAAAATATAAACTAATAAATTTTTCGAAAATAATTACAATTTTTTAATATTTTAATATCTCTATAATTTAAAAAAAAAACTGCTTATAAAACCGGCCAGTTTTATAAAAAATTGTAAATTCTAAACCCTATTAAATTTTTGTAAAACAATAATTTTTTAATTTTTGGTAATATTTTTCTTTTCTTTTTCTTGGACTAGTATCTTTAAAACCGATCTTTGTCAGATTTTCAAAATACATGTTTTTTATAAAAAATTCACTATTTATCAAAAAAAGGTATAAGCAAATAAATTTTTTGGACAAATTTTGAAAACAGTTTCCTTTTTATCACAAAAAAAAATTATTTAACCTTTTTTGGATACTATATATATTTTTCTAATTCCTGGAAGAGTATTTTGAAACCATTTTTTGTCAGCTTTTTGTAAGACTTAAAAATTCTTTATCTATTTTAGTAACGTGTGGACATTCTAGAAAAAGGCATTAAATTAGTTTCTAAATTTTTCAGAATACTTTTGAAAACATAACTTCTTTGTTTTGGAAAAAATTTTAAAATTAAATTGGTAAACTTTTTTGAAAATGTGTCTTAAAATCTGTTGTTAAAATTTTTGTTTTTGAGTTTATAAAATTATTATTTTTTTTTGGCAATTTCCAAAAAAGTGAAAGTAGATATCTTTAAACTTTTTTTAACCCCACGAGCGCCTCTGCTCATAAAGTTTATATCTAGCACACACATACTTATATGTATCTATATATATGATGTATGTATACTTGTAAAAATTGAGAGTCAAAATCGATCAAAAAATATTGCACTGAAAAGACTACAAACGAAAAGCACGTGAGCGTGTTTACGAGTACTCGTTTTTAACCTAAAGCTCTCTCTCTCATTCTATGTTTCTCTCTAAAAAAGTTCTTAATTTATTTCTTACATTTTAGCCTACATATAAGAAAAATAAATTAAAAACTTTTTATATACGTATCGTGTGTAAATTTAAGCTATTTATTATTGCAATAAAGAACAAAACTTTAATTAAAAATAAACACAATCAAAATAGTAATAAAATTCATAAAGTCAAGTGCTCATTTGCATTTGCTTTTGCGCTGTGATATTGTACTTTTTGTATAGAATTAAGAGACATTTATAAATAACGCATGTATGTACATATGTACGTTTGTACACGTTTAGAGAAATGAAATCAATCAAATCAAAGCAAATATGTAGGTTTGTGCAAAAAATAGTATTACTTAAAATTAGTATTTTCTTAAGCAAAAAAGGCATTTTTGTACGAGTACTCTAGTTTTAAGCGTATTTAAAAAATTGTAAATTCATTAAGAAAATTACTGCACGTTCCAATTGAAAAACTGCGAACTAAGTGAAATATTTGAAAAATAAAATTCATAAAATTGACAAAATAAAAAGTTTTGTTTGTATTTAAAACCATTAATAAGGCGGAATATTTAACTATATTGATTTCCAGTCTGACATTATTGGTGGTGTTTATGCTCGATCCTAAGTAAACAAAGTCCTTCACTACTTCAAAGTTATGACTGCAAACAGCGACGTTGATGATGCATAGTCTACATAGTCGTAACAATTTTGTGGGGATCCCAAATTTAGACATGGTCTGGCCAATGGTGGACTTACCAGGTCTGTAGCCACACTGATAAGGCCCAATCAGTTGGTTCGTAAAGACCTTCAGTCTTTCACACAGTATCGACGACTGGACATTGTATGCAATATTAAAATGGCTTATTCCGTGATAATTGGTATAAACGGCGGGATCGCCCTTCTTGTTGATTGAGCAAAGCACACTGAGATTCCAACGTTCGGGCATGTATTCGTTAGACCAAATTGTGCTTAATAGCTGGTACATGTGCCCGACCAGCCGCAGGCTCTGAACAGCTTAGGCCGTATACCGTCGGCTCGTGAAGGTCTTGTGGTTTTCAAGTCACCTTATTGCTGTTCTCACCTCGTCCGGGTCAAGTAGAGAAACGTGAGCTTCGTCTCTATACATTACTTCGGGTTCTTCTTCATCAAACGCGCCACCTATGCTGCCATTCAGAAGCGTTCAGAAGACTTTCCTCCATATCTCAAGTGTCATCTCTGGAACAACCAGCCCCGGCCTTGAGACATACATATACATACAGTGACTCAAAAAATTTACCACGAGTTGATTTTCTTCAAATATTCGTAATGTTCTTCGAGCTAAATGCACTTCATTAGACTAAAATAAAAGAAGTTGAAATCTTGATGAAAATTTGTTGAATTTTCCTAAATTTTGTATAACGTTTGAAACTGTGATTTATACGGTTTTGGTTAAAGCTTAGACGATATTTTTATATAAAAATAACAAAAAAAATGTAGCTGGAAAAATATTACGAATATTAAAAAAAAACAACTCGTGGTCATTTGTTTGAGTGTACTATACACATTACTGATGAATTAAGTTGAATTGGATTTTTGAACAGGTGGCTCTTTAACAACATCGTCCCACCTTAATATTTTAACAGATTTTGCAACTAAATAATATGTACATACATACATACGTACAATGTACGAGTAGGTTGGAGCTGATATTGCAAGCCTCCCTTTAATCTATTTGCGTTTTTAGCACGTGAGTGATTTGTACTAATTTAAAATAAATTACAACTATTTATTATAGACAAATCAGAAAAAAAAACATTATTCAATAGGAATGCTCATTAAGTACAAATAAGTTTAACTCACATCGTACGTAATTAAAAATTCATGCAAGCAATCTACTTCACATTCGTTTGTGTCTCTTATTAATTTATTTATTTACTTAGGTACTGTGTATATATTTAAAGAACAATAATACCAACATTCACGTGTTCGTAATGCAAATACATAAATATAATTAATAGCGGTACTTTGAAATGCCATTTGCTCAAAGCAATCCCCAAGCCATGGCTATGGCTTGTGTGTGTGTACATAAAAGTGATTTGCGCGATGTAAGTAAAAGGCGGGTTAATTGAGTATAAATTATACAGCGATTATCGATCTAAGTAATAAGATACACAACTTTAAAAGAAAACCAGAAATCTTGTTTACAAACAATAAATTGCTTGTTGCTTGCATTTATTATTTAACTATTTACGAGGGGATTTACAACAAGTCATTGTAAAATAGGGGGAA